ATTTACTTTTACTTCATGGTAACATTTCACCTATCTCATCTAGTCCTCAAAAGCTTGAGTCATAAGAAATCTGTTAGGATTTAAGGTGACCCCAAACCTCTTCGCTGTTATTTCTTAGAACACTAATCCTTCAGTTGATCATCTGTCTTGGACTCTGAAATAATATAATGTGATTTCACTTTGGCTCCTGATTCCACTCATTTCCTCCACTCCTTATTCATTTCTATAGTTCAGCAAGAAGTTCACAATCATTCATTGCTTTGTCTTTTCTTTTACATCCCAGTTTATGAATGAAAATGAAAATAAAAATAAAAAGGTCCAAGTCTGTGTCTTGGATACACAGGAAGGAGAAAGCTGGAAAACAGTCTAACCCAAGCCATGAAGCTTTATTGTTTAATTAAGGAGCGAATGTCAGAGAAAATTTAGCCAGAGGGAACATCCAGGCACCAATCCCATATGAATATCAGCATCCCACAATCTCATGGACATATTAGAATCAATTCACATTTTTGCCTATCGGGCTTTACTTGTGAATGAGTGCATTTAGGGTCACTGCCTTTGTGAAGTCACAGCACTTTTCCTGATGTTTGACACTGGCTGTCAGAGTAGAGGTTCCACCACTGTATTTGATGAATCATGATTTCTATGACGTTCATCTCTTTATGTACAGTTCATCCTGCTCAGCTGCCCTTGAAGGGCATGGAACAACGTCCCTACATGCTCTTGTGTGTGACTTCTTTCCATCACCTGCTTTGGATTTATCACTAAAATATTTATGGCTGAGAAAAAATGGGAAGGGATGGCCACATTTCAGTTCCTGAGGTCCATCCAGGAGATGATGATCAAGAACTCAAGAATGCTCAGTTTGGCTCTTTGCCTAGAGAAACCAGAGCTTCTGCCAGAACATTTCTGGGCCACAGAAAACTCTAACATTCATCTAGGTCAGATTGTAATCCCAAACTTGTGAATCTTCTAGGCTGGTATCTTCCATTCTGCTAAGCATAGAAAGTTCAGTGAAGGAAAATAATATTGTTCTAAAAAAAATCCTTATCCAGGTTAAGAAAACTTTCTACTGATTTGCCCTAGAGGTGACCAGTTACCATGAAGATAACATGTAAGCAAGCACATATCTATCCTGAGAAATCAATGGGCTATTCGTTTATCAGTAGCACAAGGTGTGGTTAGCGAGAGTAATATTCATGGAAGATAATTCAGTCCAACACCTGTCATTTGCTCCACAATAACTAAATTGAAGTATTCATATTCAAGAGGGAGAGGGTTTCTGGATATATGATAACATGATGAACATGTTACTAGTGGAATGATCATTACTAGTGGTTAGGAATGAGTAAAGTTTTTCTTGGTTCTCTTTTTTAATCTAATAGTAGTTGTTTCATCAAGATACATGAGCCCATTTTCCAAGTTGGTTGATATAACATCTACTGTATACCCTTGGGCATCGGTGTCTTTTTACATATTTCCTTCTCTGTCATCTGGAGTAGCACGTTGGGGAAGATTACTGTAATACCATCTCTGACACACCCATAATCATGACTTCTCATGTTTAACACACTTTTGGGGTTTAAGGATACCAGATCTGCAAAATTCTGGATGATCACAAGAAAACTTTTTTTCATGGTCATCCACATTTTTGAAGTTCAGATCTGATTGTCCTACTTTGTTCAGTCCAGAAGATTTTACTTACCAATGACAAAAGGCCAGTGCCTTTGTCTCAGTCAATTGTTTCATTTATGCAAGAGTTTCGGGCAAAGGACTGCAGCTGTGCCTGCCCCCACATCTTGCAAATGTGGCACAGTCTGTCTGCAGTTCACAAACCCCATGAGATGGCAACTCTGGGTCTCTCAAGAACTCCATGTAGATCCATGCCTCTCCCTACCAGCCCACAGATGGTAAAACTCCATCAATATTTCTTGCAGCTTCACCCTTGCATATTCCCTGTGGCATTCTTCTTCTGTTGAAGCACCAGCATGAGGAAACGTTGGTGCTGAGTGCCACAGCCAGGCCTTTTGTTATAGCAAGCAGCCATCAGTTCAGCTGAAAGGAACTGCCTGGCAGAATACCCCATTGTGGCTTTAATAGAGGACTCATTTCTTTGCAAAGTGTAGGCTGGAGGATGAAAGGGACAGGAGGGGGAGGAAGAACACTGGAAAGTTTCTGTTGGATGCTGTTCAGAAGCCTTTGCCCAGCAGGCGAAACCCTGTGTGGAAAGAAAACAGAGCAGGGAGTGGAAAGTGCTGACTCTAAAAGCGACGTTGGCATCTTCAGCCAGCCAGCCAGCCAGTCGTTGGAGGTCACCTGCAGCTGCAGAAGAAGCCAGCCCAATTCCACTGGGCAGACCCTGATTCTTGCCCTTTCCAAAGCTGACATACAAAGAATAGTCGCCTTCTCCTGTTTTGATTGCAGGAGAAATAAGTAAAGTCTGTGCCCTATGCCTCTCTGATCAGACCGATGCAGCAATGAGCTTCATCGCTTTCTGAAGATGCCTGATGCAGATACTGATTTGAGATCTTTAATTTGAACAAGGCGATCATTTAGGCAATCCTGACATTCAGTTTGGATCCTCAAGTCAATTCTATTTCAAAATAATTTAATTGATAAGGAAAATTGAATCAGGTTTTTGAAGCACATATGCAGAAATGTAGTTCAGAATTATTCAGAAGTGTTAATTAATTCAAACTTGTCCAAAGATTGAATGGTATAGAGTTTTCCAATTCTTTGATTCAGTTGTTTCCTATCTAAGTAATGGAAGTTGTAGTCCCAACACATCCAGGAACCCACCAGATTGGTGAGCTAAGTGTTAAATCAAGCTGGTCCACACTTAACCTGACACTTCCATCATGCAACTGCAAGGAGTCAAGATGAGTAGTAAACACAAACCAGATCCTAGACTATCTTCATTGGCCCTGGGGCTTAGAAGTGGCTGCTGAAAAGCGGGCTATCCTTCACTATCTTATCAGGTGTAACTGCCATGTCCAAACTCCTTGAAGGAGTCAGGATATGTGTGAGGAGTCTGTTAACAAGCCAAAGGAGAGATAAACACTGGATTCTCATGTCTAGAGATTCCCAGATGACAGACCTTCTCACAGTGTAAGACCAATTGCTCAGCCAGAATTCCTGCTCATTCTGATTGTGCAAGATCACTCAGCTCCTCTGATTAACAAGGAGCAACAGAATAATCAGCATTCTTTTTTCAATGCTTTGATTAATGTTATGACCAAATCATGATTCCTATCACTTCTAACAAGATCAAACCATATATATATGCCAGTATAATTAGTTTATTGTTGTTTTTATGTCTGAAGGAGACTAGCGTGTCTCCTTGGACATGTACTCTAGGAGATAGAATCAATGGATCATAAGTCTACTAACTCAGTTTTGTCCAGATTCTGGTCAGGATTTTTTTCCCTAGCTTTCCGGGGTATGAACCTTTTGCATGATTCCTGGAGGGCCAATTCATTTAGGAATAAAAGCAATACATTAAATTATGCCTGCATGGACCCATGTTAAGCAGTGGTGAATAACTATTTACTACATTTGTATCCCACCTTTCCAACAAAACCAGCCTTCACAGCTCTCCTGACCCCAACCTCCACTTTAACCTCAGAATTAATGGTGAGGTAGAGTATGATGTGAAGTCAATATGGTGACATGGTTTGCATCATACTGAGTTATTTTTTGCTTTTTGACTAGTGTGTTGTATGACTCTCTTTAGTTTGGAAGCCATGGTTTAAGCCTTGGCACTGTGGGTAAATTTTGGTGTACACAGTGAATCATAGTTAAACAAATCTTGCTAGTGAGTATATGAAGGCAGATATTAACTCTGCAGCTGGATGGGATAGAACTTACATTGCTTCTTGCTATCTGTGCTGTGCTTGTTAAATTTCAAAACAGTCTACAGGTCTTGTTGCTACAATTGCAAATGTATAGCTATATGCTTTTGTAACATATACCCTTTGGGTTGATCCAAAGCAACTGAGCCAAAATTCATATAACTTTCTATAGTCTGATACATTTCTCACAAATTCATTAGGATGAGCAGGCTAAGAACCTCTCATAAACCTGGGTGTTTTAGATTCAATCAACTTATTTCCCATTCTGAACAAACAGGAAAATTTCAATGAAGTGATATGGAGACTGAATCATGGATTTATGCTGGCTTTAGTCATTGGTTGGTAAACATTTACACTTTTTTTGTAAATTTTTCAACTCATCATTTTTGAAAAGCTAGTTCTCTTGTAGATTCTCACCGCTGACAACAAATATACGCACACTACAAAAACAGTTGGAACTGAATACCATGTTTTATGGCTTTGCCAGTCACACACCCACACACACACACGTGTGTGTGTGTATCCATCCTCCTGTCTTAGTTATGGATCATGCCAATCTGTCATACACTGTGTGCTATTAGAAACTTCCAAGAAGGGGCAAAAAGATACAGGATTCATTTTGCATGACAATTCCACTACTTTTGCCATTTCCATCCCTGAATTTATTTGTTTTTTTGTTTTTAACCTTACTAAAATATATTTCTGGGCCAGAGCTCCATGGAAGAACACAAGCTTTTGATACAAGAGGCCAATATTTTAATCCAAAGTTTCTCTTGTATGCTTAAAAAAAGATTCCAGTCTAAAAGCCTACACATTAGTATATATTTTGCATGACCACCTTGTTGCAATTCTACCACTATCCCCTTTTATCTTAATTTATTCTCAGAATATCTGGAAAGGGTTTTAAATAGATACGTTGAAGCATAGAAAGAAGTTTTTGGTCTATTTAACAGCTAGACCAACATTGATTGGCAGTGGCTCTGCAGAGTTTCAGACAAGAGTTTTTCTACTTCTAACTGGAGATGGCCAAAAATAAATTTGGGACCTTTGCACGCAAGGCAGGCATTTATCATGAGCTACCATCCCCTTCCTGATTACTGTATTTTTGGTCTCCAATTAAATACGCAAATAGACAAAAGTAAACATGGCTTGTCTTTGTAATATTTTAATTTTGAATACAATCAGAAATAAGGCTACAGTATATAAAAACTCTCCAGAAGAATGATGTGCCAGCATCAGCTATTAAAACAAAATCACTTCCACTCCCTATTAAGTCTTCAGTGTGGGAGAGACTGTGATTTTGAATTTCTTAAAAAACACAGGTAACGCTACATCTCTAAGCTACCTCAGTTGAGTTTGGTTTTCTTTTCTTTTTTTTCTCCTAAAAAGCACCTGCTTTTTCTCCTTTTTTTTAAAAACAAAAACAAAAACATTTTGCTTTTAAGGCATTTTTTTCCACTTCTATAAAATATAAATTATATGAAAATACAAGTTGGAAAATAGTTGAAGAGCATAATATAACAATCTTTTCTTCTCCTCCTAAACTTATCAGCTTAAAAAAAACAGATATAAAACAAAGACAAAAAAAGGAACACAATATTTTTTTTTTTAAAAAAAGTTCACTGAGGCAGTTAATTCTTGGAGATATTTCTGTCATAATAGATATGCATACATCAAGCATCATTTATTTCAAACATCTTTGGAATGGAGACAATCGTTCATTCCATCTATAGAGACCCCATCAGAAACATAACTGAAGAAATCAACTGGCAGTTCTGCAGTAACATTAACCTACATTGAATTGGCTATTTTGTACAACTGTTTCACACATTCTGTGGTTAGGCAAACACCATTGTTGTTGTTTTTAATGTAAACCAAACATGTAATGTGTGAATGAGGCCTCAACCCTTTTTGACACAGCTTTCAGTTGTCAATAGCTATTATCTTTCCTTCCTTCCTTCCTTCCTTCCTTCCTTCCTTCCTTCCTTCCTTCCTTCCTTCCTTCCTTCCTTCCTTCCTTCCTTCCTTCCTTCCTTCCTTCCTCAGAGCTCAGTGAACTCTCTCTGCTACTGCAAGTAGAACTCACACTTTCAAAGATGATACTGTCTGTCACTGCATTGAAAGGTAGGTTGGCAGAAAGTTAGGTACAAACACTGATAAGGGAAGAATGTCACCAGAGCTGTCGTGCAGCATGGTTGGCACTCAATTGCCCTTTCAAGATCCCTGAGAATATATCTGTTGTGAACATTGGACAGATTGAATCAGATTCATAATGTTGGGAAGATCTCCAGCTTTCTGCTGTAGGTGCAAAGGTTCTTCCAAACAACATCAAGTAGACCAAGCAACATGAACCATGAGTTGAGAAAAGGCCATTAAAAATGGATGCTTGAAGAATCAGCAGCTCCAAACCATAAAGCACAGAATCCAACGGCAAAACCAGCTTTGCAAATAAGGTAACAAAGTGTAGTAGTTTGTGATCTACACAATCCAAAGTGGCTTGGAGCTCATTCTTATGTTCGAGTGGAAGCATATGAAGCTACCCAAACCTAAATCACACCACTGACCACCTAGATCCCTACTGCTTCTAATGGACAAAAGACTGACCCATGCAGGACCTCAGTGGACAGAAGTCATTTTCAACTCTGCTGCTTGAGACGTTTTAACTGGAGATACCCAGGTTTCTGGAATATTGTGTGTCTTCTACTTATGAATAATGACTCAGTCCCAATGAACAGCCACTAACTTTTCTGTTATCCTCTCTGTTGCAGTTACCAGGCAAATGACTGAGTAAAAGAGCAAAAGTCTGTTTTTTTTTTTCCTTTAATGTGTAGAATTTGGTAGAATTTAAAGCAGAGCTATCAGAAGGTTAAAAATCAACCAGTTCTAAACCATAAATACTTTCACAAACATACTTGAATGGAGATGCTCTGCTTCATGTCAAAATCAGAAGTGTTTGCTGGATGCTTAACCCAAAAAGGTATAAACCCAACAGTATAAAAATAGTCTTATCTTCAGCTGCTCTAAATCAGCCTTCCCCAGTTCATGCTCATCAAATGTGTTGAACTCCTACAGATTTCTATACATCTGGAAGACACAAGTTGGGGAAGGCTGCTCTGAATTAATATCCTAAAACCTCAATGTTACATACATTTTCCCTGGCCAGATTTCCTTTGAACTTGGCAGGGCTTATTCCTGAATCAACAAGCAAAGGATTATACTGTAGGAATACTAAGAAGTATCACTATGGCCCTTTTCTTTTTCTTATAAACACCTGACTGAAAAAAAAAATCATAAGATGGGAACATATCCCCAGAAAAAGCCTTGACCATTGTATATTTTGCTGCCACTAATATTGCTTCAAGATGTTTATTGCTAGTAACCAGTTTTTTGACATGATGTATTCAAAAACTCTGAAATAAACTCAACAATTCAGTGCTAGTTGTTACATCTTCTAAAATAACTGTCCATGTATGGTGGGACTGCAATTACCGGAACTGCAACTAACATGGCCAATGGATGGAATTCTGAAATGTAAAATTTAGTACATCTGGATATATGGGGCTGGAGAAGTTGCTCTGGTTACATGCACTTTTAGGCATATTTCAGTCAATTGCATAGCTTATCTTATGAATTTGCTGTCTTAAACTTCTTTTTAAAAAACCTAAACTATGGAATTATCCTTAAACAATTGGATCTGGCTGACAGACAGTCATAACTCTGAGATATAGTGACTTCACTTACAATACATGTTGTATTCTATACATACAGACTAGTATCTCAGATTCTAGTCTTTATCACTTTGTTTAGGGCTAACTCCCCCAAATACCACAGATGCTTACGAGGAAATAACAGATTTGAGGTTTTAGGAATACCATCCTTTCCCACGTCCACTAACCCTTCTTTCTCATTTTCTACTCATATCCTCATTTCACTCTGCTGGAATCCAATCTAACTGAGCCTTTGGTCCTGATTTCATTTCTTTCATTGCAAGAATTACTGCTATCAGTGTTCCTGGCTCAAAATCTCCTTTCCACAACTTCCCAAGAAATACCAAGATTATCTTCCCCTAAGCCATACTAAGATTTTCAGCCAGCCCTAAATTTATGGACACTATCCACTGTTCACAACCTGGCTATCCACATAGACAGACATTAGGTACTTGGGGTTAATCAGTACCAGAAAACTGAGAATGGTTGAATTGTCAGAGGCTTTTTTTACCCAGCTTTGAGAATTGCACTTGTGAATGGAGCTACTGATATCAAACAGCATCCTCAACACCTTCAGCAATTCTATATTATGCAGTTAGAGGCAGCAGCCAACATAGACCATAACATGCTGTAAAAGTGATCCAAGTCTGGCAAAAGGATATTAAGAAGAGCAAGTAAGTCTGTCACTGCTCATCTCCTAATTCCACTTCACATCTTCTCTAGTAGTAGCCTCTGAGTCTAAGTGAAAAATACATTCAGGAATTTTGATGAGTTATGGTCATTCAGGAAACCGCAAAAGCCTTTATTGTACATTCATGGCTTCAAACAGCCTCACTTTAAGACTACCTGGTTAATATAAAGTCATATCAGAAAGTAGGCCTGTGTAGGGCAGCTGTGCTTTGTCTGAGCAAGGTTCTTTGTGCCATGGAGGCCACACAATTCTCTTTCTCGAAGCTTGGAGGTAACCCTTCTTGAAACATTTTGTGTTTGAACCTTTTGGCCAGCAGTTCTTCTAACCAGAAGAGGCTTCTGCACCTCTGTGACATATGCCCAGAAGCCTCTTCCAGCTGCTAGAACTATTGCTAGGACTCAAAGCATTTGCCAAAAGCAGCAACAGGTCTGTTTCACTTCACTTCTACGCAAAGGTGGAATACACTGCTTTGGGAAACAGTTCTGAAAGGATATTTTGCATGAACCTTGCTTGCAGCAAACCACATTCCCAGCTCTACCAAAAAGCAATATCTGTGATAGGGACAGAAAATCTGTGGCCCTCCAAATGGGGGTGAATTACAACTCCCACAATTCCTAAGTAACCTGGGAGGGATTCTGGAAGTGTAGCTGGACCGCAAGTTTCACACCCCATTCTATAGCTCGGTTTTGACCTAAGACAGAGATGCACGGCCCTTTTCAGGCGAAAGGACACACTTGTCCTTTGAGTGGTGTGCCAGGAGCCCATTCCAAGCAGGAGATAGTACCAGCATCAAGAAACAGATGGGATCAGTGGAAAAACTAAAATTGATTTCATGTGGAATTTTAATTAAAAATTAAATACTTTTAAGACAATGGCTTTTTTGTTTGACCCTCTTCTCTCACATTAAAAATAAATAAATTTTGTTGCAACTTTGGAGGTGCTCTAAGGGCCACGTTTAAGGTTTGGGGGACAAGATGTGATGCTGGGGACCCAGGTTGTGCCTCACTGCTACAAAAGCTTTATCTGAAAGGTATCTAGCGGCTCTTGATTCATCATGAAAAAGTTAAATAGAGTCAGACCCATCCAGTACTTCGATGGGACGTCTCAGGAACAGCCAGAACTGTAGGCTAGTCTGAGAAGTTGAAAACACCCACACAAATACACATATCCTGGAAAAATGCAAAAGCAAACCACCTCCCTATTGTTGCCAAGAAAACTACATGAATGTGTTCATAAAATCACTAGGACTCAAATTAAACTCAAAAGAGACCACCTTTGTGTCATATCGGATAGCAATGCCTTTGAAAAAGACATATTGGAGACAATTAAATTAGAGGAACAGGTCTTCCTAAAATATAGCGAGTTTGTTTGTTTTTGCTAATTATGGTGATAACATTATTTGTGCCTATTTCTTCTGCCCTTGCCCTACAGATTATAGGCATGGTCTCAGACCTGCTCTATTTCAAATTCTGCTGACATTTCAAGCAACTCAGTTCTCCCACTTTCAATTTTGCATGACTGAAATGATTCATTTCTGTTACAGTTTATGTTTTTGGGCAGGGGGAATAGAGATCATATTACTGTTCTCTGGTTGCAGATACTGGCTCTCCACTTTTGGTCTTTGCAGAATATTTCATGCATTATATTCCATAGGTGTAGAACACAAATGATTAAACATTGAACTAAACATTGTGAAGCATGAGGCTGACAAATGCATAGCCACCTGTCTTGCACAGGCACATGTATGGATGGAGGCATGGCTGTACTCAGGGGAGTGCGAGCTTAGGATTCAGACCTCTGGATAAATAAGACCCTTTTCCCTTTACTTCAATTTTTGTAAAGCTTTGTAAAGTTGCTTTAGAAATGAGTCAACTCTAAGGCATAGCGTGATATTTTTAAATCAGCAGACGATTTGAGATAGGGCAGAGAGAGGGTATACAAATCCATAGAATATCTAAGTATTCTATTCCCCCCCCCCCATTAAAAATATTCACATACACAGTGAGGAAGGAAAAAGAAATTAATCAATTGAACTTCAACCCATCCCTCTTCTTGAATGTTATTAAAAACAAATGAACAACAAAAACTAGCAGGAAAAATGTTGTTATAGCATCTGTCTTTTTCAAAGATGCATTTCCAAATATGACTGCCTTTTTTGAGATAGTAGATATTTAGAACCCAGGTATTTAAGGGTCTAAAGATCAGCTCTGGGTTCTCATACAGTCTTTCTTTCCTTTTCTCCAAATAAGGATGATTGAACTGTAGAGTCAGAACTGACCTCAAACCACACCTAACACCAAGCCTGTTTATTTTTGGCCAACATAGCATGAAGTAAAAGAGTGTATATAACTTGGGATCACGCTTGGTGGCCCTGATTTATTTTAAACCCATTCAATGAAAACAAATTAAAGATATCTACCAAATTATATAGACCTAGACATGTTCACCTAGCTAGCCTTGCGCTAAGGCAGGAAAGATCCTGGATCAAAGATAAAGATCCTAATGTATATTGATACTCCATACCTTAATTCTCATCCTTGTGAATGTAGACATATTGATCAGCAGTCAGTCCAAAAACACATGCATTTTAATGTGCCTAAATTATCTATAAAGAGATTCTGAACACCTAGAGATTACTGTATCCTTCCTTATAAAATACTCCACTACAGATTGTTAGAGAATGTGATTGGCTCCAGTCTGATTCAGATTGTTAATCTGATCCAATTCAGTGATTCAGTTTGATTCAGAAAATCACACCGAATGGGATTTTCCAACTCAGTCTGAAAACTGATTCAGTGATTTGGTCCTATTGCAAGGCACTATCCATAATGAAACATTCATAGCAACTGATATCTGTGAAAAGAATCAATAATGAGCAGTAACAGATGGACAATTGAATTCTCCTCCCTCCCCCCCAACAAGAGAATCATTCGTCCTACTTTTCAACAATGGAATAATTGTAGGAAGAGAGCCATGTTAATTTATGGTAGCCAAAAATCAGACAGTGTGGGTAGCATCTTTCCAGACTAACACATTTTATTCAAAGGTATAAGCTTTTGAGAGTTAAATGAAAAAGCTTATGCCTTTGAATAAAATCTGTTAGTCTGAAAAGATACTGCCAGACTCCTGGTCACTGGAATAAGAATCTTCTTTGAAGTATCCTAGATATGACTGTACTCATCAAATGTAGAGGAAAATCTAAATAAAATCTTATTATGAAAATGACATTATTAAAAATACATAAGCAGGGGCACAGATCTACTGACATAAGGGAATAAAGTGCAGGAGGTCCAGCATTCAAGCAAAACATCCGTTCATCTAGAGTTCCCCATTCTTAGCCCACACTTTTATCTTGATTTTCTACTGGTCTATTCAATCTGCCCATTTCTAGTGGAGTCTACATAGACCCTATATTTCATTTTTCTTCAATGGTGATAAAAATCCGCAGCTGGCAAAACAAAGAAACACATGATATTGCAATACTGAAACCATCTTAGAGCTTAAGACTATTTTAAAAAATACTGGCACAAAATTTAATAAAATACCATTTCTTTTCAACATTTTCTTTTTTTAAAAAAAAAAGTTTTTTTTTGGTCCCACCTGACAAACATAAAACGGAGGCCTGTCTTGTGAAATGCAAAATTATCTGGGACCACAGTACTTGGTTATTCCAATATGTTTTCCCTGTAAAACAGGATGTGTTGCTACTTAAGACTGTTCTCCATCCATTCAAGACAGCACTGTCTTACAAGCACACAGATTGTCAGTTTTTAACATTGGGAAGAAAGGGGATCATATGAATTCATTAAATAGATGTCACAAGATGGTTGACATTTAAGCTCCATTTTCCTGACTTCTAAAATATCAACTGCAAATTCAACTCCAAGAACATTTGAATATGAAAGTTCTTTTTTTCCTCCTCCCGGCTAACCTATGTCACAGTTTCATCCAAAAGCTTAAAGTCCTACCCCTTCTTAAGTACAAACAATGAAAAATTATGTTTTTTCTTTCTTTTCTTTTTTTTAAAAAAACGGAAAATAATGACTGGGGGTAGGGAAAGAAATAAAGTCCTTATGTTCTTCAGGTTGTTCTGTTTTGGTAAAATGGATCCATTCATTCATCAGCGTCTGGCTTCACATCCAACATGGCATGGAGCTCTTCAGGGGTATACCCCAACAAACTCTGCAGATCGCATACAAAGCGGTAGACATAGCGTTTCCCTGCCGTCTTGTGGATTATGTTCTTGTCATAGTAGTAGCGCAATCCACGGCTCAGCTTCTCATAGTTCATTTTTGGCTTGTTCTTCCTCTTGCCCCATCTCCTTGCCACCTGGAGAACGTCAACCCACAACATTTAGTTTATGAAATTCCTTAATAAAAATCAAGAGCTTGACTCCAGAAAAGTTAGCCAGAATGTATAAGGGTACTTCAAATCTACGTTGGAAGCATGGGCAACACGAAGGGTCATTTTATGATGCTTGGTGGACTTGTAAAAAAGCCAGAATATTTTGGGTTCAAATACATACACTGACACAAAGAATTTTAAAGACTAAGACTCAACTGAAACCAGAACTTTGCTTGTTGGGATTAATGGACAGACAACTAGAAAAAAGCCACAGAAAATTATTTTTATATAACTTGTTTGCTTAGAGAAAGATCAGCTACTACATTTTTTAGGGACTGGAAACCATTATGGACTTTTTGCTGAAAAAAGAAAAAAAATAAACGTATGATTTATGGGTTTGAAGATTAGAAAGGGTAGCTTATGGAAAGAAGGTAATTATGAGGCAATCTTAGAGAGAGAAGGTAAAATATAAATGCATTTATAACTGCTGTCAAAAAGATTGGAAGCTACTTCTTTATAATCTTTCTCTTTCTCTTTTCTGTTTCTGTTTCTCTTTTCTTTCTTACTTATTCACTATTCTTCCTTATTTTGTTTCTTTTGTATTGTTTCAATATTTGTATTGTTTTTATCTTGTTAACAATTTCTTCAATAAAAATATTTAAAAAATTAAGAACTTGAATTAGGGCTTTCATGCGTACAGTTCCAATTAAGCCCTTACTTACCTCATCAGGATCAGAAAGTTTAAATTCCCAGCCATCACCTGTCCAGCTAATGAATGACTGACAGGATTTGTCTGTGAGAAGCTCCAGCAAGAATTGCCATAGTTGAATAGGTCCACTACCTAAGATGACAGAGGAACAGGGAGAAAAACAAATAATTATACTAGAAATGAAATCCATAAATGAAATGTCCCCAGGAACAAACTAGAAATGAGGAAACCACATACAGCTTAGAGCTGTTTCACTGTTTATTTATTTAGCATATATTTTATACTCCTTCCCTGAAATCAAGTTGGTGAAGTGAAGGCAAAAAGGTATTATTAAAATCCAAGAATAACATTGCAATAAATTAGAAACAGTTAGTATTCAAATATGTGCAGTAAAATGGTGGACAGAAAGGAAGAAAAACATTCACACAACGAAGGCCTTGCTAAAGATGTATCTTCATTAGGTACCTAAAAGACGTGATGATAGGTGCAATGGCTATGCTGATCTTCAAAAGGGTTCTTTGTTTCAGCAGATATCTGAGTAAAGAAGCTCTCTGAAGCTCCTTGAAGACACACACCCTGCTCTCCTCCAAACAAGGCCCACCTATGAGAGACTTGCAAGATGCCTTTCTATAAGCACCAACAGCAGAACCTATTCTGAAAATTGTGGTGATTGTCCAAATCTCTAATGGAGAAAGTCCAAAACCTGACAAGTCCCCTTGTCCCAAATTGTCTAATGGATAACTGGCAGCCAGCTCACTTCTTTTAACTCAGCTATAACTGGCTCATAGCCAAATACTCAACTAACTTACAGGGCTGAAAAACATGCCATCAACTAAGTTACAACTATTGAAAAATGCACACCTGGAGGGGCCATGATTAGTCCATCCCCAAGGCCTCAGCCATTGCTCAGAGAGAACCTCCAAAAATTGTTATGAAATTGCAACTTTTAATATATCCAAAGGAGAAAAGATTAGAAACACAGGAAGCCATCATATTAACTGGGTTAACTTTAAAATTAGTCTTGTCTCCATCCATTTTATCTTGATCTTGGCTGTTTTGAGAAGAATCATCTTTCATTCAGTAGTCAAATGCCAAATGTGGCCCTTGGCCCCGATGGTTAACACCCACCAGTTTAGGCAGTTGAGATAGTCCATGAGTGCAGAACACAAAGCCCAGTTTCTCATGCAGCTTCTAAAAACACTGGTGGCCCTCAAAGGTCTCCAAAAGTTGCCATGAAATTGGGAGTTTAACATGAGGGATGGCGAAAATTATTAAATATAGGGTAGGTAACCATACTGGTTGCATTTAAATTTAATTTATATGTAAACATATTTAACTTTAGTTTCTAACTTTGGGTAGTCTATCTCCCTGCCTTTCACTCAAAGGTTAAGGGCAATCTGCTTTGCAAAAGCATTGGACGCTCTAATACGGAAAGGTAGGCAAAAGAGTAGTATTCTGTTACACAGCAATGTCTAACACTCCCATGGGAGCTGTCAACAATGCTTACGGTGATGTCCCCACACTGGACGCCTTTAGCAGACATGGTGGGGCCATAGGGCCCCTTCCAAGTTTGTGCTTCAAGCCATGAAGGAGTTGGATCCTGCTGGAGTTGCAGCTGGTGAATAGGAAAGTCAATGGGATGTTTTGTATGCCAGTCTGGAGCCTCAGGTCTTCGTTACCTAGACAGAATTATATTTTTGGCCTCGGTTGCAAAGGGAGGAGGAGCTCTTCCCTCCCACCTGCCAAAAGACACTTGACCACAGCCTGACCTCCAGCAGGCTCCTGCCCCCGCGTCTTGCCTGCTGCCTCTCCTGACCTTGACTTTTTGTTCCTGGCTGTGTTTACCGAGAAGTGATAAAAAGGAGGCAGGTATGAACATTGTTGGCTTCCTTCCAAGGCATGTTGATGCAGGAACAAGCCGCACAATCTCACCGAGTTAAAAAAAATAATAACTTGGAGCCAGTCGGTGGCTATTAATATAAGGAGAGGCAGCCTTGATATTGTGGGTGGATGGACGCGGAGGATTTACACATGGGTGGGGGAGACTGTCTAATATCCCTGTTGAATCCCTTGGTGCTTTAACAATTCCGCTCTTCTCGGAAAAAGTCAGCATTAGGCTCCAAAGCAAGAAAGGTCTGGCAGTAGATAGGATTCATTTTTAGCCTTTTTTCTGCTGTTTCACCTCCACTCATGAAGAAACTGAAATCTTGCACATTCTTTGGTGCCTTTTTGGGTGATCCTAATAAAGGTATGACTGACCCCATGCTAAATAGGCAGGGGTTTACACAACAGACTAAGAAACGGTTTGCTGAAGAAGCCAGAAGGGGCCGCATGTACACAACACGCTAAGCCATGCTTTACGAATCACTGTAGTGGAGTTCGCACAACATGCTAAATCAACATCAGCAAATGGCTTTGTGCAAAATGCAAATCCAGTTGTAGGCATGGGTGTCTGGATAAATGTTTTATTGTATGCTGCTCAGAGTCACGTTCTATGAGATGGGCAGCTCTAGACCCATGACTTATTTATAAATAAATAAATAAATAAATAAATAAATAAATAAATAACACACAATTCGATTAGTTGTTGATAATGGGGAACTTGCCTTCGGGA